TTTTTTGTATAAGTAAGGGATGGTGTTAAACTATCTTGCTGAAATGGTAAAGATTTTGGGTATTTGAAGAATTAATTAAATGAATAATTTTTATTAATACGGAGGAGATGGATTGTTTAAGTTTAGAGTTTGGAGTTAGAGATATTAATATTTGTTTACTTGTATTTGAATATTAGCCTAGGTTTGGTTTGGGAAGTCCAGGGGGCGGGGGGATGGGATATAACATTGTGTAATATCTGTGATGTATTTCTTTTTTTTTTTATGATGAAAACAATAAAAATTTTATATTGGAAAAAAAAAAAGAACTCACAGTCTCCTGGTGATTGGCCCAATTACCCAGCCAGTTTTTATGCCTAAGGTGGGACTAGAACTCAGAGCTTCCTAGTATCTAGCTTGGTGTCTTAACCACTAGATCAAACTGGCTCTTTTTTCCTCTAAAATATCTTTCTGAAGGTACATTCGCCAGAATGCTGGTGAGGTCTCATTGCCGGTACGTGTGTAACAGCATAATTATAATGATAGTTTTATCTTCCCTTCTGTACTGGATTATCCCAAACATAGAAATTACTTTGATTTCCGCAGCTGTATACTGGACTGTGTTCTTTGAAGAACAAATCTTTTTTATGTAACAACAAATCAGTCTGATCAGTAAAACCCAAAATTAAAGTATTATTTTTTCCCCACCTCAAGCACAAAATCCAGAAACAGTTCCAACTAGAAACAAGTACTTATATTATTTTCTTTTATCAGAACAATCAATTTAGCCATCTTTGCTAACTCCATCAACTTTTGTAGCCATTCATCCATGGCGGGAATCAAAACATCCTTCCATTTTGGTGTATAGAGTAGTCTTGCTGCCATCAACATATATAAAATTAGATTCTTTTTTTTTTCTTTCCCCCCTCTATTCCACACTTCCACAAAGTATCTTTGTTCCCTACTATTTGCTTTTGTATTTTTGTATTTTATATTATAAGCTAATAACAAATATTATGGGGAGGATGGGAGGATGTTGATTTGAAGTTCCCTATCCACTGTTAGGTACATTGGCTTAGGAAACTTCTAGTAAAAACACAACCATAGTGAGCAATTTTATAATACTTTTTTGGTAGTCACTTAATATTTCTAAATCTAAAGATGTGTATTTCAGGCCTGGAATTATTAATATTTTTGTTATTTGCACATTATCTATCAGATAGTTCTGACTGAATTTGACACTTTGATAACTGCATTCTTCCTAAGTGTCTGGGATACCTAAAAATCCATATATAATATGTTATAGATTGAATTGGAGTACAGGTAGTCCTCGATTTATGACCACAATTGAGCTCAAAATTTCTGTTGCTAAGCAAGACACTTGTTAAGTGCACTTTGCCCCATTTTATGACCTGGCTGAGGAATTCTGGGAGTTGAAGTCCACAAGTTATAAAAGGGCTAAGTTTGAAGACCCCTGCTGTAATTACTTGTGTTCCAATTCAATCTCTCCCTTTCCTTCCCCCTCCTCCTCTCCCTCCCTCCCTTTCCCTTCTCCACCCCTTCTCCTTTTCTCCTTCCCCTCCTCCTTCTCCTCTTCTTCTCCTCCTCCCTCTTTCTCGTTCTCCTTTTTCTTCTCCTCTTCTTCTTCACGTGGGGCAGGTATGGTTACCATGGGTTATACTTCTTTGTTTTCATAAATTTTTAAGTTTTCAGCTAATATTTCTTCCTCTCTCTGTCTCCCCAGGTGTAAAGAGCTTAAATATGCAAAGGATCTCCCACAGATTTCTATTATCTTTATCTTTGTCAACGAGGCACTTTCAGTCATCCTGCGTTCAGTTCACAGCGCTGTAAATCACACTCCGGCTCACCTCTTGAAAGAGATCATCCTTGTAGATGACAACAGCGATGAAGGTATGAAGCTCAATTTTTAGAGCAGGGAAAGACAAACCAGACAGAATACTTATAAAATAGTCAATATGTATTTATTTGAACAATATCTTTAGCTTGCTGGAGTCCTACAATCAAACTGGATATGTCTAGGATATATCCACATTCATCATATGTTTTAGCCCCCGCCCCCTTAATCATCCTTGTTGCTCTTCTCTGCACTCACTCTTTCCAGAGTCTCAAAGTCTTTTTTTTTTTATGTTGTGGTGACCAGAACTAGATGCAGTATGCCAAGTGTGGTCTTACTTGGAATAGATAAGGGTTTATGCCTCACCTGGTTTTAGAATAGAATAGAGTTGGAAGGGACCTTGGAGGTCTTCTAGTCCAGCCTCCTGCTCAAGCAGGAGAACCTATACCATCTCAGACAGGTGATTATCCAGTCTCTTCTTGAAAATTTCCAGTGATGGAGCGCCCACGATTTCTGGAGGCAAGCTGTTCTACTGATTGATTGTCCTTACTGTCAGGATGTTTCTCCTTAATTCCAGGTTGCTTCTTTCTTTGATCAGTTTCCAACCATTGTTTCTTGTCCTGCCCTCTGGTGCTCTAGTGAACAACCTGACCCCTTCTGCCTTGTGGCAGCCCTTCAGATACTGGAATACTGTGATCATGTCTCCCCTATTTCTTCTTTTCTTTACACTAGTCAGACCCAAGTTCCGCAGCCATTCTTCATATGTTTTGGTCTCCAGGCCTCTTCTCTGAATTTTTTCCAAACTCTCAACATCTTTTTTGTAATACGGTGACCAAAATTGGCTGCAGTATTTGAGGTGTGGTCTTATTAGGGCTTTATAAAGTGGTATTAATACTTAGTTTTCCCATTCCTGTTATATTCTTATCTATTTATTGATTAAATTTTTATGCCACCCATCTCCCCTCTAAGGCAACTCTTTGCAGCTTCTTGCTACTCTAGAAGAGAGTTTCCAGTCACTTGACTTTAATGCATGGGTGTCAAACTCGATCGCGTCACATGATGTATCCTGACGTATCGTGACATTTTTTGCCTTTGCGGAGCCGGGATGGGCATGGCCTGCATGTGACGCATCCGGCCCATGGGCTGCCAGTTTGACACTCCTGCTTTAATGCTTGGAAAAGCTTGAATGAAAAACGCTCAATTGTGGGTAAGGTAACAGTCGAAGCTACTTCCTATTTGGTAGGTAGCTGCTATATTTCTTTTGCTCTGGTCTCTGCAACTGTAGGTGTTCTCCTTGTTTTTTTGAGGAAGGCAAATTATGTTTTAGAAGCCACTGGAGTCTGCAGCCCCATGGTGTGCTGGAGTCAGCTGGTATGAGTTGATTGTTAATTTTTTGGAAATTTTTGAGCAGTCAAAAGCAGAGTTGAGCTGCAAATGCAAAGTACATGATGAGTTGTTTAGTAGCTAGCATTGCGGCGGACACAGAGAGGGCAAAGCTGTTAAATATTTATTAGCACACCTGTGCTTCAGCCTATCCTACATGCCTCTCTGTCAAATATTATAGGGATTGTCTTATATCAGTAGGAAACCAGCAACAGCTTAAATAGAGTTAAAGGTTGAGCAGTGATCTGATTAAGATGATTTCTGATGACCTCATGGAAACACCTGGGTCATTTTATTGGCAGCCATGGAAGATATTTCTTCTCAGGCAATGACACCTCCTATCTCCTGTTTACAACACAGTCCTTCCAGCCATTCCAAGGAGGCTCCACACCCATTTGCACTATTCAGGTGACCCTGAGGGCACAGATAAACATCTAAGTGGCCTCAACGACTCCTCAGAAAGTGTGCTAATGACCAGATGACTGCAAGGAATATAAATCCTTCCATCCTCCATTATTCAGTCAGAACTGAAGAAGCTTCTTGGATGAGAAATGAAATGTCTTCAAGGAAAAACAAAGTCCTGTTGCCTTTTGAAAAAGCACCTTTGGGACAACCATGACCTGGTTGACTGAGAATCTCCATAAGACAGTGCCTTCTTAGAATTTTTCTTCTTAAACCTTGCAGTCTGGTTTGCAACTCTGAGATTTGTTGATAGCCTTCCATCCCAATAGAAGTCAGGTTTGATCTTGCTTAGCATTTTGAAGTTCTGCCAAGTATTAAGCCTTAATCTCTTTGACATATCTCAAAGGTACAAACCTAACTCTCTCAAAATTAGATCTTTTAAAGTGTAAAAATACATCATATTCAGTCAATTTGATTTAGAAGGCTTGGGCTTTGCTCGTCAGTCTTTTCTTTCCATTTGAGAATGCGGTATACATATCCCTAGATATGATGAAAACAAAACTTGCCCTAAACAGACTTAATGTGTACTCTGAAGAACAGACATACAGAGCAGAAGCAGTAGCTATAGTCAGTCTTTTATACTTGACATTTTCTCAGTCTGACCTCAAGACATCTACTGGCTGTTGGTTCTACTTTTTTCTTGCAGTCCAAGTCTGTTTTGCTGCTTATGTCAAAAGCGCATGGCTCTTGCAAGCACATTTATTAACCAAAGTTGGGGGTTGGTGGGGAGAGGAAAGGGAAAGAGGAAGGAGGAAGACATGGCATATTTTATGAAATGATACAGTGAGAGATTAAATGAGCCCACAGTACTTATGAAAAGAGAAAAGGCCAATAATATTTCTAAAGGGATGAGTTGGGCCAAGGAGACATTTTCCTCATTTATTGTTTAAACCAGGTCAGCGCTAATCTCAAAATCGCTGTTCCCAATCCAGTAATCCGGGGTGGACATCTTCGTGAGCATTCTGGCTGCACTTAATAGTTTGGAGGAAGAACAGAATTGACTAGGCTAAGCAGACAAGACTCTGTTTCAGGCAGTATTGGGCTTCAGGATTAGTGACCATGGTTTAAACGAGGGCTCTCCAAATTTGGCAACTTTAAGACTTGTGGACTTCAACTTCTAGAATTCCTCAGCCAGCCGTGTTGCCAAGCTGGAGACCCCTGGTTTAGACAACAGATTTCTTGACATTTTGATATCATCTGTGGCAGGCATTTTCAGATGCAAGGTGCTGTGCCACACTATGCCTCTAAAGATGTCAGTCACAGTTACCAGCAAAATAGGTTGTCTAAACCACGGTCACTAAATCCTGAAGCCCAATACTACACAATACATACTGTCTGTGAAACCCTACTATAAGGCCCTGATCCTTTTTTAAAGCCATAAACTGTGGTTCTGTTTTTCCCAGAGTAAGGAAATGGTTAAAAACTTTACAGTTGAAGTTAAGACACTGGTGCTAATGAAGGCTCCCAGATTCTCCATTCTTCCCCTGACCTAAAAGGAGGCCAGGTTGACTACACACACTGGGAGATAGTGAAATCTTTTAGGATGAGTGTATTTCATTGAATACACTGCCTGGTGTATACGCTGCCTTGTGTATTCAATGAAATACATGAGTGTATTTCATTGAATACACCAGGCAGCAGTGCTAACTACCCTGATGTATGCTAGTGAGACCTGGACAGTGTACAGGAGGCACATTAGGCAACTGAATTACTTCCACATGACTTGCCTTCGTAGAATTCTGAGGATCCGGTGGCAGGATAAAATACAAGATACAGATGTCCTCTCCAGAGCAGGCCTATCATCAGTTTACACTCTGTTGATGAAAGCCCAGATGCGCTGGGCAGGCCACGTTGTAAGGATGCCAGACCATCGCATCCCTAAACAGCTCTTCTATGGTGAGCTGTCTCAAGGAAAGTGATCACACGGGGGACAAAAGAAGCGATACAAAGACACGCTGAAAGCATCTCTCAAGTCCCTGGATATCGACACCATCTCTTGGGAATTTTTGGCGCATGATCGACCGACATGGCGTACCCTGGTTTACCAGGGGTGCCAGACATATGAACACAGGAGGACAATCTTGGCACAAGAGAAGCGAGCACTCCGTAAAGCCAGAGCTGCAAATGCTGAAGCAACAGTGTCCACATTTCTCTGTTCAGTATGTGGCAGAACATTCCGTGCTAACATCGGTCTCATCAGCCATCTATGGACACACCGTTGATGGCCCACAATCCACAAGATGTCAAGGTCTTCATCGAAAATCGATGGACGAACAACAACATTTCATTGAATCTACAAGAACCATCCATTAATTTCTCTAGAAATGGATTTGGAACTTTCACTCCCAGAGGGATCCACAATAAAATAATATTTATGGCTATAGTTTGGCTTGTGGTCATATTGTCCTGCAGAAGCCCTGGAGGATTGAGGTGTGATTTTAGGAAACTGACTGAGGGAGCAAAATGTTTCCAACTTAGCTATTAAAAAGCCCAGAGTGCTCCTAAAAACACCTTGTCTCATAGCTGAGTTCCTTCTTCAGCAATTTCTGTCTACAAGACGCTAAATGTTTCCAGAGGAATTCTAAGAAACCTCAGAAAAGAAATGAAAACCATAGGCAAAGCTTAATACTATTGTAAATGTGCTACACTATTTAAAATTTATGCCAAGGTAAAGAGATTCTTGAGGTACTCTACCCAGCTCACTTTAAAAAAAAATCCTCACTATATAATAATTTAAGTATTCTTAGTTGTTGTTGTTTTTAAGTCTCACTTATTTTAGCCACATCACGTGAGGGAGCTCACTGGAGAAAGCAATTATGTTGGAAAGAATTAGCGGTAAAAGAAAACCAGGTCATCAAAAAACACGATGGCTGGACACCATCAAAGCTGACACTAGCCAGAGCATAGAACAACTCAAAGAAGCAGTGTAACATTGTAAGATGTGGGGAGACCTGGACCACAGAATCACCAACAGTTGGGCACAATTGAATGAATCAGATCAACATCCATTTTTTGTTTTTTTTTAAATCAGTTGACTGTTCTGTTAAAGTGATTGCTATACAGCATGGATTTTTTGAGGAACTTTATAGCCCTGGTAATGTATTGAAATTTGACTCGCCAAAAACAACATAGATACATAAAAGCCAACATTAATGATCCTATCTCTGGACATTTGTTCAATGACAAGACCAACTGAGATGCATGAGTTTTC